CTTACCCATTTGAGGGCCATCTGTTACTCCAGTTTGGAAATCAAATCATTGCATCATCGTATTAGTTAAGTTTTAAACTTTAGCCTGCATTTGGATTCTAATCGGCTATACTGGAGTTCTTAAGAATTTATCAAATAATTCAAAAAAACTTTACTTACAAAGCTCTGTAAGAACTAAAAGAAAAAGATGAAAAAAAATACACTGCCAAAGCATGCCAATAACAAAGTTAGTGAGTACACTTCAGTACAGAAATAGTGCATACACTACAGCAACACTGAATTAATATAGAAAATCAATATGACCTTGCACAACAAGCAGCACTGAAGAAATGAATAAGGCAGCAAGTCTTGCAGATCCTCCTGTTCACTGACAGACTGATACAGACACATCCTTCTCCATAGCCCAGGAAGAAGGTCAAGACTCAAGACTAAAAACCTGTGCAATCACTAGCTGCAGTTTGCAAAGTAAGAGAATAAATACAATGGATCTTTTCCAAGCTAATTCCTTTTTACAAACACCAGCCTACTATAAACTTTGTTTTTCTTATAACTGCATACATAAAGGGGTCACTAAATGTTTACTTAACAGCAGAATTGACTGACTGCATGCTTTGCAAGACTGACAAACTATTCTGGTAGAATAATAAATGCAACCACCCACAATCTGATTTGGTCTCCCAAAAGCAAGCTATCAGAAATGCTTAAAGATGCTATGTGCTTGCATATGGCACAGTACATATCTATGTTCCAAATTCCAGCTCATACTGTTGGTGTGTCAGGCTCTGAGAAGCCACATTTACTTGTTTGACCAAAGTGATTTGTTTTTGAAATGTCTCTTAAAGTTCTGGACAGGCAGTTCCTTAAGCACTTAAAAAGATTTAAAGAAATCCAACCAAATAATTAAAATTATAAATAGAACTTCATCGATTAACTGTTGCAGTTATTTCAGGCTGTGAATAGACACCTTAGCGCATATCTATATTTGGGAAGGTTCCACAGATACAGTTGCTTCCATTCACAGAAAACAAATACAGATTTACTCTAAATGCACAGACCTGTTTTAAATAAAGTAAACCTAGAGAAGTTAAATAACCTTGCAGATCAGTTCTGGCAAAGGAAGGGTAAAGATTTGACTCACAGGTGTTACAAAAATAGTGCTTACATAGTTTCAAATGAAGAATTAAGAAGAGTTATTTTAAGAGCTGTTTTCTCACCCTCTTCCTATGTCAACATCACCAAAACAGCAAATTATTTTGCAGAACAGATTTGGAAGCACAATATGGAAACCTTCATGTTTTAGTAGAAAAATTTAAATCCTAACTTTTGAGAACATCACCGTCTGTGTGAAAAACAGTTTATTTAGCATTTTCTTTTCAGTATGTGGGCTGGACAGTTCCTACTACCGAATTTACAGAAGATTGCTTGTTTCTGCACTGATAGGGATGATGAGTAACTATTTATTTTAGCATTCAGAAACTATAAAGCTGTTCCAAAACAGGATTAGTGTAAAAAGGTGAAGATAAAAACACTCCTCTTGGATTTGTTGTTGCTCTTGTGAGGGCTTTTCATGTAGCTTGCTTGCCACTGCTTAGACTTCAGCACCTGTGTTTTCCAATCCTTTTCTGCTTTAAAGACTAGAACTGAATGGAAGCAAGTTCTAGAATTTTTTTTTTTCAGAACAAAACTAAATTGCCTGAAATTTGAACAATCCATTGGAAACTTCAAGTAGCAAAGCCAGCAACTCTACTGTTCTTTCTCTAGCTCCATGTAAAAATATTGGCCAGATGCTGATATTGATATGCTCAACAAGTCTGTTTCTACCTAGGGAGAGGCAGAAGTTTCCTTTACCTGCCTTTGTAATCTGCCAGATTTCCATCTGTTCTGCACACCTAAGCCACACAAGTCCATGAATGATTCAGCTTAGACAAGGGGGAGAGGAGGAACAGGAATCATGCGCTTTTGTTGAGGAAGTCAGCTTATAACTGTTGCCATTGTTTTGCCACACAAATGCAAATAGTGCAGAGGGATAAGCAATCTGGCAGCTGGGACTAAGTGGCAATTGGATTCTAAGAGGTATATGATAGCAACATAAACTTACTTTCAATTTATATACCAATTTACTCACATAAGAGCTCACTTGGACAAATAGGACTTTTGCCTTTTAGAGGCAGTATAGTAGAGAACAATGTTCTTTGTCCAAATGGATTGAACTAATCTTAACTCAATTATACCAAAAGAGAACTTAGATTCCTGTCTGAAAAAGCTTTTAGATGTGTCACATTACTGACTGCTGGTAACTAGAAACCTGCTTATATAACGTTGGAGAAACAAGTCCAATTTTCAGTACACAGCATTACAGACAAGAGTGGATGGAGTGTATATAGCACATTTTTGCAAGAAACATGCAACTTGATTGCTTCCTTCAGTTAAAATTGTTGCTATGAGTATTTCTATTTTCATAAATTGCCTATTTTCCCCCTCCAAAATTCCAGGTGAAAGAGTAATACCCATTTGTGCATCATGAAAAGATTACTATGTACTTTTGCTATTCACAGCGACAACTGGAGTGCAAAAAACAAGATCCTGGTTCAGAAATTTAGTCAAGAGCAGCAATCACTTCAACCAACCCATGCCACTCAAAAGTGATGCACCAAGTACAACTTCATATTCCTTTCATATTCAAGAAATACAGATCAACTACAATGAACTGGCCCATTGAATTAATAAAATACCTCTCAGGTACATTATCTTTACCTACATATATATGTATATATGTACATAAAATAAAAGAGGTTACTTTTGAAACATGCAGAATAAGCTACTTTCCTTGTGGTCTAAGTGTTTCTGTTCACTACACAAGGATGCACATAGTTGTTATGTTAAACTAGGTGCTTCAATAACACAACTAAATACCCAAAATTACTCAGGCAACAGTCCTAATAAAACAGCCCAATAATAAGATTCCATAGTATCACCAACGACATTATAAAAATTGCTTACAAGCACTGAATAAACCTAGCCTGCTTTCTTTTGTGAGTAAAACTGGAACCCCTCTAGAGAACTTCACAATACTTCTACACAATACTTCTCTTCTTCTAGTTATTTAATTGCATGGGAAAGTTCAAAAATATACAATTTCTATTGCATTTTGTAAGTGTACCAAGTTCTCCAATTTCTACCAAATTAAATTCTACCTCAACTAAATATCACAGCATATGTCACAGCTGAGACAGCCATGACACTCAGAGCGTTACTGTACAATAGCAGAAAAGCTTCAACCGATACAGAGCAACCTCATACCCCTCCAGAAACCTTCAAGCATCTGCCCTTTGTGTTCTTTAGCCCAGCCTTTTATGCCCTCACGGTTCATCCTCTGCACCTGTGTGCCCTCTGTTCCCTTTGGTGGTTGGTCAGTGCACCTCGGCTCTCCGTGGCTCATTGCTGTCAGTGCTATTCACCTGCTTCTCACAGCTGTGCCCACTGGGGATGAGGCTTGGCTGCAGCCCCACTGCCAATGACCACAAACTGTGTGCCTACAACTAAATCCTCTTGATCTTCCTGAGGGCTTCCCATAAGCATTTCATAAGCTGTTTTTCCTCACTGGCCTGCTTCCATTTGTGTGTTCCCCACCAATGCTACTGAAGTGACACAAATTTCTTTCCAAGTCTCTTTCAAGTGTCACAGGGTAGTGTAGCACATAACAAAGGAGACATATAGGATAGCCAGTTTTTACTTTCCCTTGTAAAAGGTTAGAGAGTTTTAAACCACTTTTGAAGAACCTCATAACACCATTCTTCCTGCCTTTTGACAGTCTAAAACACTTGAATGCATCTCAGGATGAAATAGTAACAGCAGGCTCACCCGGTATCAATTAGCTATCAGTGGAACATCTAGATCTATAGCAGAATCACACCAGTGCCTTGAACCACATTTCAGGTGATCACTGTCATGGTAGTCAGAAAGATATGTGGAAACTACTATTTAATTGATATTTTCTTCAATATGCAGGAAGAAAAAAATGATAGAGCACATTTTACGTAGGTACAAACAGAGGCTATAAGATAAAGTTTGTTTTCAAAATTCAGGATTTATAGCAATATGTGTTTTTGCAAGCTACTCCTCATAGCTGGTTAGAGTGCAGCAATTCATTATAAAGAACAGAAAGATAAACATGCTCTTCTGCCATTTCTCCACTGTGCCAGGCAAAATAATTTCATTTCATAGCATTTTTGGTTTCAGCTCCTGTCAGGGTTCATGTGAATCTTCTTTATGTACTGTGAACTGACGATAACCTCATTTCAGTGAACTCCACGAGCTACTGGGGGAAGCTGATCAAAGCTGATTGCTGGACATAATTTAAGATAATCAATCATCTAGGCCATTTTGGCAGACAGGCTGTCACCAAGTGCATGACTAAGGCACACAGATTTGCTTCTTCATATATTATCTTATTCCTACCATAGACAGCAGAAAATTATTTTTAGAATGTTTCTTAAGAATGTAATAAATATTTCTCTTCCATATTTGGGTATTTTCCAACATGTAACTGCTATGCCATAAAAATAAAAACACCTCATATGATTACAATATTCTGGTCATTATTTTACTTGAAATGGAAAAATACCAAATATTAGAATAATTTTAAAAGCAAATAAATTCCTGTCCCTTATTTTTGACATCTTATCCTTTCTATCTACACAATGGTTAGTATTCTTCCAAAAACTAAGGAATTTGGAAGTTTCCTCTGGAAATTAGCACTACTAAATATGATCATTTCATTATGGTCATTTTAGTTGGTATTGTTACCATCAGTGATTAACAGGGTAAGATGAAGTGCAACTTGCTTACTGACTCAAAGGCAGAGAACAAAATGTGCTCATTTTAACTTGAGCTAATACAGATTTGAGGATATCAGCACACACCTCTTCCAATACTTTCATTGCAGAGACCCTTGGAGATTCCATTCATGAAAGAGTAAGATAAAATATTGGAAGTCCCTACCTTCACCTGATGATCCTGAAAGGTCTATGATGACATAAACTCTCCCTTCTGGCTCCAAGTCAATCTGTAATCAAGAAGAGAAAAAGAAAAAAAAAATCAAACTTAGAATGGCTCCCAAAGCAAGTGACTGCACATGCAGGAAACAAGAAGTTTCCAAACCTCACAAAGTCAAGGTGTAAGCAGAACACATTCTGCACCAATACAGCCTCCTTTTGCAAAGAGGTGCTGAGGGCCCTGCACCTTCACTGGAATAAAAAAGAAGTGTGCACACTTGGAAAGCTTGAGCTCAGTGAATTTTACATTTCAAATATTTAATGTACTGTTCCGACATATATTTGTGCCACTATTTTAAAGAAAATCAAAAGGTGCCACAACTGAGCAAGTTTTTTACTGTTATTTATACTGAGCCCAGATATACAAATGTGGAAAACACGCTGTGACAGCAAGACAGATCAGCTCTGGTCACAGAATGGAGGAAATGAACACACACAGTTCATACAGCCGGTTAACACGTGTTTATAATACCCCTTTTGTGTCCTCACTGGGAGAAAGAAATACATGCTTTATGCTCTTTTTCTGAAACACAAAATTTGTTTATTTCTGCACCATTCTGGTGGATTTTAAGGAGTCTGTACCCATGAGGAGATCACTTTCACTCAGCATGAAATACAGGCGCTCAGTATCAAGCTGCTGTACTTCCCAGATTTCACAAGCTATGAGAATAAGCTCCAGTTTAGGCACCACATATTACAGATCTTCCTGTATTTTATCACAAGTTTCATCAGCAAATCTAAATATTGCTGGATTTGAGTATCTTAATGGTACACACAACAAATTAAAAACTATTTTTGCTCCCACACATCTCTGAAAAATAAAACTGTAACTAAAATATTATGTAATCAGTAGCTTCTACTCTAACACAGCAGTTACCATCACATGATTTCAGAGCCTGAATTATGTGATGTTCTGTACATTAATACTGTATTTTCAACCTATTTTAGTAGGAAAACCACAGAGGTAAGATTGCAAGGGACCTTGTGTGCCAGGACCTGTCCTGTGTCACACCACTCCGGACAGGAGCAGGTGGTCAAGGAGGCACCAGGGCAGCCCCAGCCTGTCCATCAGACCCATCGCTGGGGATGGGGGCAGGCAGGGCCAGACCCAGGCAGGGATGGGTGCTCTGCTCTCTCAGCAGGAACCCCAGAACCTGCCCAACGCTGCTGCTGCTGCTCTGAGGCACCTGCACGCAGAGGTTGTGGCTGGGAACGGGCGCTCTCCCTCCCTCCTCACCACAGCCTCCCCTCCCAAAGCAGGGAAAGGCGGCCTTGCCTCCCCCATGCCAGCAGGTGACACCAAGCTGACCCTCTCCTGCCACAGGGGACATCAGGGTACAGCGCCAGGCCAGCAGGAGATCACCAGTTCACACTAACAACAGGAGACCAACCTGTGGCGCTTCACAAATGAGCGAGTAAATGAGGGGACACCAGAACACCATGGCTATGCCAGGCTTTGCCAGCCTACTTCAAGTGGGCAGCCCCGTGGGGCCGCCTGTTTTGACTCCAGGTTTCTCTCATCACCTGAGAGGACTTGACAGGAGAGGCTTTTCCCTCTCTTTCAGGACATGGTTGCTGAATGCATCAACATGATGCAAGCTCCTCCTTCCACTGACCACAGTCCTCCAAGAGGGCCGGGAGAAGAGTTCACGGGTCCTGCTGATGTCATCGGACCAGCGGATCAAGAAAATGATCTCAGCGGCTGTATTGTAAATAGACCAGGCAGGAAATAATGTCAGCAAGGCCAGGGGTTACCCAAGGGAGAGGAAAATGAAAGCGTGGGTGTCTGGTTTTTTTATAAATAATAGTGTCGAATATCCAAAAAAGACGTTTTTAACAATTCCTGAATTGGCAACATGAGTTTTGTGAGGGAGTTTTTGGGGAAGTTTTTGGTTTTTTGAGTTTTGTTTTAAATAAAGCTGCTGATCTTGAAATACTGCTCCTCTCACTTTGCCAGTTTTAAATAAGAAAAATATTAGAAGATCAGAAGCACAGGTGCGTGAATAGACTTTGATGTCTATGCTGAGGGAGGCTTTTGAAAAAATGCTATAGCACTCAACAGATGGCTGTATTAAAGACAGACATGTCTAATGCTCTGTTTGTATCAGCACTATACACTGTTTGGTTAAGCTTTCAGTAAAATACTTTATGCAGTTCAAATCCCACTGTGCACGCACACACATAAACCCCCAACATCATCTCCGCAGAAGAATCAGGCATCTGGACAAGTTACTGACCACCATCACAAAATCTCTGTTCTGCCCCTTTAATTACAAACAGTATTGGAAGCAACTCAAGAAAAAGACTGGAGGCCTGAAACCAAGTTTCCATTACCCAGCAAGTAGACTGTTTCAATTTACATTTTATTAGAAGTGATGCTTAATGATTTTGAATTGGAAATTTTGCTGATGCTCTAAGAAAAATGAACCATTTATAGAAGAAAGTCTCTTTTACAAAGAAAGCATGTTTCAGTCTTCGTATGTTCAAATGCCAGTAAGAATGAAATGGACATATTCTTATTTTTAGATTCATTAAATACTCACATTTCATTTCAGTGAGTACTTGCACTGATAATCTTATCAGTCATATAATTAGTACTTTTGCCAGAAGCCAGCAGCTCAGCTGTCACAGCTAACCCTACATATGAAGACCCCAACAAAAGCAGAATACCCTAGACTTATAGGAACCCTTCTCTCCTTCTCAGGTCTTTCATGTATCAAGACAAATGGAGGAAAAAAGGACCAATTCAATCTTAATTATACATTAAAAACATCTAATTTAATGCCTAGAAACATAATGGCATAAATACCTCCAAAATACTAGAATATGCATGCTTTTTCTTTTCAGTCTGTGCATTAAGCTATGCTTAGATTCTGCAATGTCATTCTGTAAATAAGTACCAAAAGATGCATACACCAAAATCCAAAGTTCCCATGCATTTTCACCAAATGTCATGAAAGCTTATCACATGTGAAATGCCCTTAGACATATGTAACCAGAAACAGAATGACTGGCCTAATTCAGCTGACTAGAACAGGCATCCTTGAAAGCAATGGAAATAGTTGGAGAACAGCAAGTCTGATTACGACCTTTCTCTTTGACTAAAAATACTTCTCTCCGAATGCAGCCTAGCTTTTATACGTGCAGAGAGAACTTATGAGGAGACATCTAAAAAAGACATTACTGTTCAAAAGAAAACAGGGAACAAGGCAAGTTGCAAACTAGGGATAGGACAGAGGAGTTAATAAAAGAGCAGCTTTGCTGTAAGCAAAACACATGGCAAAATATGTGCCTTGCACACATACGTCACATTTGCCACATGCAGCAAAAGATGTAACAACTATGAGCAAAATCTTTGATCACCAAAACATTTTACCCTCTTACTGACCCATGCTATTTCTGTGACTTTTGTTGAAATATAGTTTTAGCATGTGCAAGTAACATTAATTAAAAATGTAATTTAAACAACTTCTATATTCTTCAAATAATAAAATCTGGCAGCATACTGAGATGAGTACAATCATTGCTGGAAACCAAAAAATCCAGGCCTGAATAAAACCTATTAGTAGCCTGTTTCAGGGAACAAAAGGCAACCATCCATAAAACCAGACATATTTTCAGAGGAAAAAAACCATGTTGAAACCAAGGCCAAGCTTCAGCATATTGAAGGCATTTATATAGTTTCACAGTCATTAATGGATTTTATTTTCAACACCCATCTGAGACAGTTTGCCATATGCAAAATGGGATACTCCCAAAGGCACAAGCTAGACGAAATGACTTTCTGGCAAGTAATACAAGAAGGCTATGGTTAAACAAGAACTGAACTCTGCTCTCTGGAGGCTCAAACTGCCCACTGGACTATTCCTCAGTTAAGCTTCTCTTTGTCCAGCAATACACATCCTGTCTTCTAGCAGTATCAAACACTACCAAGAACTTCTTTTTTCTCTTTTTTCAGACAGCTTTAATGGGTACATATCTAGGATGCAATTTATTTTCTTTTTCATTTATATAATACTCACTGGTAAAAACAATACCAAACAAAGTATGCTGAAATATTTCTCTGCAGCATTTTCAATGGATCATAAATCTTTGGCAACCTGGAGTAATGCAAAATTTAATCAAACTATGCAGAAGATTGTGAAAATGGTCCTGTTTTTCCTCAAGGTTTGTTTTTGCAAGTTTTTAACACCTTAGTGTTCTGAAAAACTGAGCCCTAAACTCAGCTAGAAGTTCACCATTTTCCTCCTCTCAGGTGTAAGACATTATTTCCCACCCCTAAAAACATATAACTTGGAGAGAATTCTCTTAGATCAAGATTTTCTAAGGAAACCAAACACTCTCTAATCTTAAAAGGACTAAGAATATTAGAATATGCTACGGAATTACTTGTGTTGCACTGCTGCTTGATATTTGAATATGAATGAGATTTTATGTACAGCCTGAATAATTCCATCAGAATTTGGGGGTGTTCTTTCCATTCCATTTGACAGCATCAGCACAGATTTTGCATGTTCTATGGCACAAACTGAGACCTGTTGTAAGCAAATGACAAACCACTGTCTTCAGTGGCTCAGTGCCCCACTGCCATAGGGCTTCCTTTGATTACGACAGAGTCCATCAGCCACCAATGTTCCAACACAAGGATGTCACCCAAGATTTAGTGACACTGTACTCATTTAAAAGCCAGCCTGTCTCAAGAGAAATTTAAGGACAGTCGTTGACATAAATCCAGATCTGAAATAAAAAAATGAGTGGACAAATGCAAAATTTGAAATTCCCAAAATCAGAAAGGATGAGAAAGTCTTACTCTGATCCTCCTTAGCTAGACAGTATATGGAACACAGCACAACCCCTTCAAACCTAAAGCTCTTGAGGATTTTGGCAACAGTATAAATGTAAATGTACTGTATAAGCCACAGAAAGAATTAAAGCATAAAACCTGCTTTGCACCTCTTCTTGTGATGTTCTAGGATTATCTGATATTTGGGTAGCTTAATGCATAAACCTC